GGGTTTTTTTTAAAAAGAAAGATAAAAGCTTATGTTCTGGATCACAGCTCTGAAACAAATGCAGGCCCTTCTCCCAGTGAAGAATGGTTCACTCTTTACTTGTAGTAAAAATGGAAATTAAACAGAAAGAAACTTTTTCCTTACCTATTTCATATAGTGTGATGTACTCATCATAAAACTGAATCTCCAATTCGTTGCTCGACCCATTCACCAGGAAGTAAACTTCCTTTTTAATGTCTGTCACATTTTGAAAACTGCATGCGATAGGTCTTCCAAGTGCATCTCTTATGTAATGTGGACATTCTTGTTCATCTTCTTCCCTGCATATACCAAAATGTTTCAATTAAACATGAGAAATGTCATCGGTCAAATGTGAATTCAAAACTTCCTTGAGCCAATGAAAACTCTTTACTTTGAGTATTGAAAGAAAAGAAAATATTGGGTATCTTCCGGAGCATTCCTGCCGGCCTTCCAAGCGCAATTCATGAAGGAAATGTTGTAAATCACACAGGAGAAATTTTCAACAGATGTTCCAATCTTGCCTGGAAACCAAGAAAAGTTACATGTGTATTTATATATTAACAATTGGTTTTGTGAAGAAGAAGAAGAAGAAAGGTGAACTACTGGTACAAGCAGATACAATTCTGCACACACTGGGTCAGACCCAGAGAGAATTTGAGCATCTGCAACTTCTATTGATGATTTTAGGTATCATCTATAGAAGTTTGAAGTTTGAAAACTTTTGCATTCCATTTAACCATGGTGATTAAACCTAGTTGTCATAACCATTAACAATATGACTCAGTTTGTATTAGTCAGCCAGAATGAGGCTCATGCTAGCTATAAACTGCTTCAGTGAAGACACCTAATGTGGTCACTGTTTTATTTTGCTATGCACCATTTTAATCCCCACTTTCTCTAAGGATACATCTATACTTACCCGCTGGTTCGGCGACAAGCAATCGATCTTCTGGGATCGATTTATCGCATCTTGTCTAGATGCGATAAATCGATCCCGGAAGTGCTCGCTGTCGACTCCGGTAATCCTGCTCCACGAGAGGAGTAGGCGGAGTCAACGAGGGAGCCGGCCTGCCGCGTGTGAACCCGCGGTAAGTACCTTTAAGTTCGAACTAAGATACTTTGACTTCAGCTACGTTATTCACGTAGCTGAAGTTGCGTATCTTAGTTCGAACTGGGGGCTTAGTGTGGACCAGCCCTAAGAGACTGACATAAGAAAAGCAATCATATCACACACACATGGTTCTATCCTGCAAGTTACTGTGCAGAAGTGGACCTTTCCTCTGCCACAATGTCACTAGCACAATTGAGGCCACAGTTTGTTACAAAATGGCATCATTGTAGCAGATTTGCAAATGCATTTGTAATAAAAAATGAAATCAATGATAACTTCTAGAATGAAATGTATTCTGAGAGTTTTTTCTCAAAATTTTGTAGATAGACAAAACCTTTCACAAACTGTAATGCATTACCTTGAGGAATGAATCTTGCTTCTGCTGAATATGAAATGTTGTTGTACATTGCTTGAATTTGGAATAATGCCCCCTTATGTATAGGCAAAGCACTGTCTCTGCTAAACGTGCAGGTTTTATTGTACACCTGAAAAATAACATGCGTTTGTATTAATCCCTTGTTTTTTCATTCCCAGTTTTAACTGGTTCTAACTATGGGAAAAGCCC